AACACCATGCCTCCCCCTAAGGTACATTCTAAGGCAAACTTGACTTGGCAGGCATGAACGTCGAAAGTGGCGAGGAGTCACTCGCCAACGTAGAGTGCACGTTTGAACTCCGATTGACACGAAACTTGGCGTGCTTACATATCTCACTAATATGCATCTAACTTTAAAGCCGCTCGTCCAAACTCTCGACGGAACCCCAACTTCTAGGGTCGTGGCTCGGGGCCCCAACTGGCCCCCGTTGAGCTTGTCACCGACACCACTGACGTCGCCTTCGCTTTGCATTCTGCATATGCCTTCTCTAGGCATTCTTGAGCACATCCATATGGTGTGATAGGTGATGCACCATCCTCCTTGGTCGCATCACGGCACTTCACTCTCGGCCCTTGACATGGCCCGATGGGCGACATATGCTTGTCGCTAACACTTGCACACTACGTGCGCGTCACAACCTACTCTCTACTAGTATGGTTGTGACACTGAGCACACAAGAAGTGCAATGCCTAGTACCACAACATTTGGACAACATTATCTAGAGGATTAGAAGTATTTCCACTAGTGCTCTCATTATTGTAAGTTTTCTACAGAATACAGATGGAATGTATTCCTTTTTTATTTTGAGAAACTACACTGGAAATTTATTGAACCTTCCATTAAGATTAGAAAGACTTCAATATTATAGGGAGGATAGGACAAAAAGAAGTGGTATGGCTATTCCCACGAACCATAAAGAAAATGCAAGGCATGGAATAGCTATATTATTCTTGGTCATATCAGAATATCAGGTATCTATACTATAGAATGGACATTAAAGTTTATTTCTTTATTTCCATTTGTTGTCATTATTTTTTAATTAGGATATGCAAATATTTAATTTTAGGAATTTAAAGTAAATAATTTGGTGCTTCTATAAACAAACTATAGATATGTGTCTTATTAATTACTGTGTGTATGTGGGGTTCTCATCCTTTCTTAAGGATGCTGGGTCTGTTATTTTTCTGCGGTACAGTTATTCCTGCTTGTGGAGTTTGGATGCCTTTTGGGCTCCTATTCTTCTGTGACTCTTCAACATTTTTTGGTTCCATCAAGCCTTTGCACTTCACTTTCACCAATTAGGAGGACTTGAAAAGAACATTCACCTAAGAATTTTTTGTCCAGTTGGCTTATAAGGGGATTTATTTTCAAGTACCGAGTTTTTGAAAAAAGAGATGCTTTCTTTCTCGGTCTCAAATGGTATTGTATAGGCGTGTTCACGGGTTGGGTCGGGTCGGGTTCGGAAAATGTTTTGAACCAACCGACCAACCCAAGGTTGGTCCACATCAGGAAACTGATGGAATCGAACACAATAGCCAACCCAACCTAACACAACTCAACCCAACCCAACCCAAAATTTTCGGGTTGGGTCGGGTGGGGTCATCAGGTTGAGAAAGGTAAGAGAAATAGATGAAGAAAGATTGCGGCGACATATAGATGAGAATTGTGAGAGGCGATGGTGTGAGATTGATGAGTGAGGTGATGAAATCAAGAGAGGAGAGGAGGACAAGAGGCAAGAATCTAAATTGGAGCACAGAAGAAAACTAGAGAAAAGGCGTACAGTTTCTTTTGATTTGACCAAAAAATTTCATCTCCTCTCTTTAAATTTCAACTCTCAATTCCATTTTTCACATTAACCAATTTCCCCAAATCTCTCTATTTTTCTGTTTTTGCTTCAAAAATGGAGGTTCAGCCATTGGAAATTAGAATCATCAAAGCCCATGGCCTCATAGAGGTCAATCTCTTTTCCAAATTGGACGTATACACCTTCGTTTCCATCTCTGGCGACCAATTGAACAACCCCAAGTTGAATAAGATGGCGACACCAATATTGGAGCAGTATTGAATGGGCGAAGAAGTCGGTGTTCATGGACGACAGAGAACACTTCTTGATGGTGGATCTAAGGTTGCGAC